TCACTCATAATTCTACTACACAGAGGTGACCAATATTATAATTTTACTATGATTCTTTCCAGAACACTTAAGATTACATGGTAATACTGGTCTACTGCCCGATTTTACCTTTTATAAAGAAAGATATTCACAAGATAATATAACACATTATATGTATAGAAATAAACTTCAAATCCATTTCCATGTTTGGCGATTGAATTAACCTTGAGAGGTAAACAGGAAAAGTATTATTTTCTCTATTTTATGCATGAAGAGATAAAGGTGTAGAGAACTGAATTAGCTTATTTAAACTCTTAAATTAAAAAGTAATGGAAATGAGAACAATATTTGCATTTTTGACTCACAATCCAGTGTTCTTTTCACTCATACGCTAATAATAGGGTGGTGACACTGTAGAAGCCGAATTGCCAAGGCAGGAAATTGCAGCAAATCTTAATTAAGGATATTCCTGAATCTGAGTAAAGAAAAAAATGTTGGATTCAATTATGAACTACAGTTGAATGAAATGGCATGACTTTCTGTGCCTCATTAGCAGCTAATTAATTGCTACCAATGTAAATACCTTAATGTTACAAACATCTTATGAATAAGGTTGAAAATAACCTATAAACACAGGAAAGAACAACTGTGACTCTACATATGACATAATAAAATGATTATCCCAAAACTACTCATCACCTTGGAGAGGTAGCTGAACTGATCAAAATGACATGCAACATAGATTAAAGCAAAGTTTTCTCCTTGGGATCTCCTGTAACTCTGTAGAAAACTCCCATGAACTTTTCTCTGTTAAACTCAGTTATGGTGGCCCCTGGATGGATTCATGTAGGATGGTTGCTGTTGTGTCTGTGCAGAAACTGGCAGGAAGGATCTGTTCTGCAATGTCCCAACATGTTCCTCTTTGCTGCATGTACAATGAATGAGGTTCTCTCTCTCTTTGTACTCAAAAAGGAAGTCACATCAATGCCATGATTTTAAAGACGTAGTTCAGTGGCAAGTATGACAGAAGACAACAGTGTGATGAAATACTTCTTTAGTAGGAGAATATCATTTAAAATAGAGCTCAGCAAATTATGGTCTATTGGTCCCTATGGCCCGCCCCCCCCCCAACCACCTTTTTTGTTCTTGTTAAAAGCCATTTTATTTAGCATAGCTGTGCCTATTTATCAGTGTATCTATAGCTGCTTTTGTGCTACAATGCAGAATTGAGTAATTGCACAGAGATTATATGGTTTATATGCAGATATTCACTGTCTGGTCCTTTACAGAGAATGTTTGTCCATCCATGTTCTAGAGCAAGAACATGGGAGCTGCATTCAATGCTGAAAGAAGGCCGAGTAGAAGGATATTCTAATCTGAACTAGGAACATTAGCAACAGTAACAAGGAGAACATTTCATGAATTTTCTAACATTGAGGAATTAAAAAATGTAACAGCCTGTCCTAGAAAGTGGTATTACTGTATTAGAGTTCAAAGTATTCATGGCTGGGCTGGATGAGTATACATTGGGGAAGTTAGCGGAGAGATTCAGGGATAA